AGAACTCAGCATTCAAACTGTGTTTCTGCTGAGAAATCCTCGCCACATTTAGAGGTTACTATAGTAAGAAAGGGCTCAGGTGTTCTTACAGGTGAGCCTGATGGGGAGGAGGGTGTGTGTCTCATATAGTTACGAGTGTTTGTGTTAATGAGTGTTGAACAGGAGACAGAAACCAGTTCGAAGGTCTTGAAATAGGACAGGGTATGAGTTTTTATTGATGCTGTGGGGTTTTGATCCTCCGGCGCGTTCAGGTTTAAACGAACAGAGATCTGAGTTGATGATGGATTTCTGGATAGGTTTCTAATCAGATAGTTTAAGATATTAAAGTGTCAGAGAAAATCTTCATCATTTTCTTTTTTTCCTCAGCGTAAGAAAATCTCGTTATTTAGTGTTTTATTTTGAAAATAAAACCTCTATCCTGATCAGACGGGTCGGTGTAAACGCTGCAACCTGCAGTAGGCAGAACACAGATGAACTGGCTATAAATCTTTTCAGCTGTTTCAACCATAATCATAAACTGAACTCAAAGGTCAGACAGGATCATCTGGGTGAGGAGGAGCTTCAGGTGCTTGAACCTTATGATTCTCGTCCGTTTATCATTACATAATAAAAATAAATAAAACAAAACCATAACCCGGTGAGCTCCTCCTCTGACTTCTGTGATCTACAGCTCGCGCCACCCTCTGCTGGCTGTTAGGACGTGGGTCTAAGGGTCTGTTGTCTGGGCTCAGAACCTGTTTGTCTCTCCCTCTGCAGGCCATAGTGTCTGTATGCTGTGAGGCAGCCGACCTCAGCGCCTTCATCACTGAGCTACGATCTAAAACACACTCTTCCTGCCGTGGGGCGGTTACTCTGAGCCAGCACCAGGCGGAGACTCTGATCCTCAGTGACCATGTGATTTCCAACCTGCTGCCTGGGAAAACCATCATCAATGACTGGGAGCCTCTGAAGCCCGTGGAAGCCAACCTGGAGGTGCTGCGCCGCAGAGAGCTGACCTTCATAGCAGATCACGAGTCAGAACCATCTGCCCTCAGCCTGGGCACGCCCCCGTACGCTGTCCCTTATCGCCATGACGCTCTTCGCGTCAACATCAACATCTTTGGTCACAATCTGGTGTCTGTGTGTGCTGTGTTTCTGGCTCAGCTTGAAGCTCTGCAGCCTAAGGTCACAGGTTTCCTGATTTTACAGACCTACCTGAATCCTGCAGTCTGGGAAGGTTTTCGTCAGTTCTGCCAGAATAATTCAAGGGTGTCGTTTTTAAGGGACTACTGGGAGGATGTGATCCTGGAGTCGGACCTCTGAAGCCCTCAGAGCTGTTGGCAAGATGGAGGTCCAGTGGATCCCAGAGTTGTCTCTGTCCACCCACCGGTGGCTCATTGAAAAATGTTTTAATGAAAGTAAAATCCACTTTGGGAAACAGGAAGGTCATGAACCATCAGGTCCAAAACCCTCCGAACTACCCAGGAACCTTCTGATATGTCCTTTATAGAAGCAGACACGGGATTAACAATTGGAATCTGGATTTAAAATCTAGCTTTAAATGATCACAAAACAATGCAACAAAAAGAGTTTAGCTTCATGTTTTTATGAAACAGTCTTGATTGTTCCAGGAACATCGGAGCAGCTCTGATGTTTGATTTATAATCACCTGCACTGATTTTATGGTGGTGAAAGTAATTAATACTCAAGTTGGAATCATCATTAAACAGCTCAACTCTGCCATCTGCTGGTGCAAATCTGTATCTACAGTCTCTGTAAAAACTAACAGCATATTTTAGGTTTTACACAATCAGTAAACTTCTGCAGTAAAAAAAAACTTCAAGTTAAAACCAGAGATCGATGGTGAAAATGTCTCATAATAACCCATCTAGTGTTCCCGCAGGACACTATCATTACACGCTCTTATTTTGAAAAGAACTGTTTAGTCAGTGATCATGTTTGTTTTTTGTTTTTTTCTTCTTCCAAGAATCAAGTAGCCACAGCTAGTGGATCGACACTAAAACCAGACTTCTGGTGAAACTTCAGGAACATCAGACCAGAATATTTCTAATCCCTGAAGGTTTCAGCTGATTTCTTCTCAAGTTACAGAATAAACAAACCTCTGATGTTTGTTTCTGTCATGTTGGGACTTGGGTCGCAGAACTAAAGTTAATAAAACTTATGAGATGAAACAAACTTCCTTCCATTTCCTCTCAGAATAAAAACACCCTCCAGCTGTTTTTAAATGTATAAATTCATTTATAAATTAGAAGTTACTTTAGCTTCTTATGAAAAACAAATGTTTACAGAAGCAAAAACTAGAAAAACTAAACTCTGCTAAAGTCAGCTCTGCGTGCACAGTCAGCGTACTCTTTATTTCCCAACCATCTTGATTTACAAAATCTTAAATAACTTTATTAAAAAGGAAAAAATTACAACTGACAAAACCGTTGCTCTAAGAATGATGTGATGCCAGGAACTAAAAGCTGATTGGACCTTTCTGTTGAGGAATAAATAAGGTTTACAGGAAGAGTCAGCGGTTTCCCAGAATGCACTGCAGCAGCTTCGTGTTCAACACAGGAAGTGAATCTGGTTAAACTAATAGAACAGGAAGTGTTCTGCTAGACTGACCCAAAAACTCTCCAAGGCACCAGATGAAACGTTTTGGTGTTTGGACCCAAAAGAACCGCTGGTACCCAAGTTAAGACACGGAGGGGGGCAGGGCTTCAGCCCAGCTTCAACTAGATTTAAAAGAGAAGAGAACCAGAACCTGTATGAAAGTATTCAAACAAAACCTGCGGGCCGACTCAGAACTTGGTTGGTTCTTTCAAGTTGTCCAGGTGAGAGCTGATCCAGGATCAGCTGCATCACTGGCCTAGATCTTGTGGGGCTGACTGGAGCATGGTGGTGACATTATTCTCAAAGATGTTCTAACAGACCCAAAAACCCAAATCCGGCTGGTTCTGATTCAGACAGACACACTATCAGAAAATAAAGAGAAATCTGAAAATCCAACATGGACAATCAGAACTGACAGGTCCAATGTCTAAAACCGGTTCTGTTCTGAAGTCCAACAGAGCCCAGAAGCTGAACTTTATCAACAAAATCAAGATTCTCTTTTTAAGGCTTTGAGTTGCAAATAAAAATGGCTGACCCGATGTGGGGTCATGACCCCAAATCCAGAGTTTGACAGGTAAGAGCCGAAGAGTCAGAAGGAAACTTTAATCCTGATGTAACGCTGAAACAGAACAGAGCAGGTCCTAAAGTCATAAATGTGTTTTAAACCAGATTCGGGGTCATAAAGTTGCAGTGCAGGTGCCTGTTTGGTAGAAAACTATGTAGAAAGACTTTTAGAGGCAGAAGCCTGTCAGATCTTCTAACTCTGGCTTGGTTCTTCTCCACTGGAGGTTCTCCGATGAGGAACCAGAACAGGGCCGATCTCTGACCTCTCATGGAACTAGGAGTCTTCGATTAAAACAACTGGAGTAGAAACCCATGTGCAGAAGATGTACTTCACCCTAAATAAGGAGTAGGGTCCATTCACCAAGAGAGACCCCCCCCCCCCCCCCCCCCCCCCCCCCCCGGTCCCAGACCAGAGACCCTGAGGATTCCACACGAGTCTTTGCAGTCCAAATGAGTCAGTGTAGTCAGGTGTGAGATCCTACAGCCAATCACCTCGCACCGCCACCATCCTCTTCCTCCAAATCAAACACAGAAATGGAGGGTGAGGGGGCGGGGTCATACATCCAGTGAGGAGTCAGGGGGAGGGCGCCTCTCAGCTCTCCATAGCCTCTCCATCTTCTTAATGACCTCCGACACGATGCACACCGAGGAGGTGAGGGTCACCAGGAGAAGCAAGTCTGTAGGGTCGAGACAGCACGCAACAAGGGTCAAAGGTCACCGACAGCAGCAGAGCATACGCAGAACGTTTGGTTGCTACAGGTTCTCACCAAGTAGGCTTAGGCTCTCCGTCTGGAAGATGTTCTGCAGAGGAGGGAAGTAGATGACGAGGAGCTGCCCCATGATGGAGGCCAGGACGGCAAAGCAGAAGGCCTTGTTGCTGCACAGACCCATCTCATGGACCATCCGGGTCTGAGGACGCAGGTTACAACAGCTCAGCTGGTTCGTAGTCCCAAACATGACTAACAGCTAGTTGCTTAGTAACAACACAACATACAAACTAACAAAATAACAAACAACTAAGACAAAGAAGCATGTTTGAGAACTATGGCAAGAAAAACGGACAGAAGTCAGTGAAGCATCGGAAAGACATTTTAAATGTGACAGGCTGGGGACCGACCCCTGGGTGGGACATATGTGATGTTACCTGGGAGCGCGAGCTAAGAGCATTGAACATATCGAAGAAGACGAAGCAGGTGAAGGTCATGGTGGTGTCCCGAGGAGTGATCATGTTGTCCTGCAACTGAAGAAAAAAACAAAGAAAATAAAAATCAGCTTGAATGAGAGTCCTCATGTCCTCTGGGGACAAAACAAGTCCCAGCTGATGTCCTCTCTGCGGGGGGGGGGGGGGGGGGGGGAGACAACAAATCTGAGGTGGGAAACGAAAGAAGCAGACGATGTCCCACCTCTCTCCAGAAGACGAACAGTGTCCCGCAGACAATGATGAAGGCAGAGACCAGGACCTTGACAATCAGAGAGCGGGTGATGATGCTGTCCTTCACATTACGAGGAGGCTTCCTGATGACATCACGATCCACAGGCTCCACCCCCAAACTGACAACAAAAAGCAACAGTTTGACCTTTGGCTCATCGTAGAAATGTTCCACTGAAAGGGACAAAAACTACACTAAATGGCCAAATAAAGAAACACACACACACACACACACACACACACACACACACACACACACACACACACACACACACACACACACACACACACACACACACACACACACACACGACTTCTTCAGACTACCGCTGTACCTCTGAGCGGGCGGTCCATCCATGATAATGTTGATCCATAGGATCTGCATGGCGTTCAGTGGATTTGGGAAGTTCATCAGCGTTGCCAAGGAGATGAGTGTCAATGCTGCAATGCTCCTGAAGACCAGCAGGGGAGATGGAGAGCACAAGGTCAGAATAAACAGCTTTATTAAGACACACGGAGACCGTTGACATGGGGATCCCGACTTCACTCACGTGCTCAGCTGGAAGCACACAAAGTTTTTGATGTTGTTATAAATCCCTTTTCCTTCTTCGATGGCCGACCTGGAAGCAAAGAAACGACCACTACTGACCTTGTTCAGACACGGACATACATGGACTGGTTGAGTTTTCCTCTAATGAACTAAACTGTAAACTGGCAGAAATTGTTTAGTATGCTAATTCCCAGCATGCCTTGGGGCAGTGGTTTTTGAAGGTGCCACTCACAAGATGGTCTGAAAGTCGTCGTCCACCAGGATCATGTCAGCAGCCTCCTTGCAGACGTCTGTGCCCGTCTGACCCATCGCCACGCCGATGTCGGCAGCTTTCAGAGCCACGGCGTCGTTCACGCCGTCCCCCGTCATGGCCACCACGGCGCCGAGATTCTGCAGCGACTGCAGAGAGTTCAAACACCTGGTTGAGCTTCACGTTGTCACCAGTTGACATCTGTTACTGGTTTAGATTTTATAAAAAGTGCCATAAGACTGATTCCATAGGTTTCACATTTGCGGTGTATTTGGAATAATCAGGTAATCGTGTCTAAAGCGTGCGTGCCCTCTCCGTCTGCTTCCTCCTCACCTTCACAATCTTCAGCTTGTGTCTGGGGCTGGCTCGATAAAACACAGATATCTGAGGAGGAAAAGCCCACATCGATCACTGAAAGGCTGAGGGAGGATGGACACCAACCCAAACAAAGACATGTTAGTGTTCTCACTCTGGGGACAACATATGACAGCTGCTGCAGGTCCAGCTGATCCACTTCCTCTCCTGATAAACACTGACACCCTTTAGAGAAAAGACTCAGACGGCTGGCTGCAGACAGGAAACACACACAAGGATTCTTAGACTCACAATCCGCCTGCTTTGAGCAGAAACATCCCCTGACCCGGTCTGGTATCACCCCCCCCCCCCCCCCCCCCCACCCCACCCCACCCCCGGTCCAGTTTAACAGTAAACAGACCTATGGACACGGCGGTCTCCTGAGAGTCTCCTGTGATCATCTTAATGGCGACACCGGAGCTAATGAGCGTAGCGACGGCCTCTTTAACGCCTTCTCTGGGAGGGTCAATGATGCCCACCAGGCCCAGGAAGGTCAGGCTCCCCATCTGAGCCCCCGAGGCGAACGCCAGCACTGAAGAATGAAGCACAGAGAAGTCAGCGTACCGAGGAGGCCAACAGCAGCACAGCAGGAATCACCGTTTGTTACCTCTGAGTCCGGAGGTGCCCATATAGCTGATCTGCTGCTGGTAGAGCTCCCTCTGCTGGGAGGTGAGAGGAAGTGCTGCTCCTCTACTGTTATATGAGCTGCAGAAGCGAATCACCTGCTCATAAGCTCCCTTCACGAAGTACACACCAGTCTTATCCTGGGGGGGGGGGGGGGGGGGGAGATCAGCTTCATCTAATAACATTTTATAAACTAAACTAGTTTTATAAACTTTTCTGTCAACGACCGAGTTTATAAACTTCATCTGTGTTTTCGGCATCAAACCAAAACAAAGTCTTTCACGCGGCTGGACTTCATGACGACTACGAGACGTTTCAGCTTCCAACATTTTGGTGTGTTCTCCTGCAACATCACTGCTGAAACTCCGGAGTTTTATCACTTAGCTCTAATTCTAAATCCCATTTCCTCTGAGCTGCTGTAGCTCCTGCTGTAGAGAACTGATCTTAAACCTTTCACTGGGACTTTGATAATCTTCTAAGAGAAGATTTAATGAATCAGAGTGAAGCTCTGCTGTAAAAGTTCTGGTCCGGTCCAACCGACCTGCTGAGTGCAGTGAACACAACGAACAGCCATCCACTTCTGCTCTGAGGTGAAGGGATGCTCCTCCAGACGGACATACTCCTTCTGCACGCTCTCCAGGCCCATCTGAAGGACACAAACACACTTCAGCTCAGACTTCGTTCACATTAACGAAGCTTTCATCCAACTCAGCTTCAAACTGACAAACATCAAGTTCAATACAACCAGAATCCAGAGGTAACAACATCAGAACCAGGCAAGAAGCCGATAGGGCGTATGAGTTAGGACAGGAGGTCTTCTCTAGAGGACATGCAGATATCAGGCCCTCATTGGTCCTATTGGGTCATCAGAGACCTTTTACTGTTGAAGGAAGTTCTGAGCCACGTGTGTGTGTGCTTACCTTCATGGCAAGGGCGATCAGCGCCCCCTCGGTAGGACGTCCCAGCAGGCTGTGGTTCCTGATGGCCGAGTCGTTACACACACAGCCGACCTGAACAACACAAACATCTCAAACTTTAAGCTCTTTGTTCTAATCTTCAGAACCAGTAAACTGAAGGAGATGTGGTTTTGGTATGCCAAGTTTTAGAGTTTAGAAGCTCTGGAACATCAAGATGACCTCCTTTAACTCACCTCTACAATTTTACTGATGGAAGGGCAGGAAAAGCCGTGGACGACAGCGCCATCCAGTAAAACCTCTCCAGCTCCATTGTAACCGACACCTGTCACCTGTAAGACATCGCCAAGGGTAAACAACCACAACCCAGGCCCAAAGTAACTCCCCAGGGTGGAGTTTTGGGACTCAGACCTCAGCGTGGAGTCCTTCTGATGTGAAAATCTGAGTGACGGTCATCTCGTTTTTGGTCAGAGTTCCAGTTTTATCAGAGCAGATCACATTACAGCAACCTAACAGAGAAAATGAGAAAGTTACTGATGACGAACAGAAACACCAACAAGACTCCTCGTTACAACTGACACCCACTGATTCTTACCCAGAGTCTCTACGATGGGAAGCTTCTTGACGATGGCCCTCTTCTTCACCATACGCATGACGCCCAGCGCCAGCGTCACCGTCACCACAATGGGTAAGCCCTCTGGGATGGCGGCTACCGCCAGACTGAGGAATGTAATCAGAATTCACCCATCACTGTCAGAGCCAGGCTGGAGCCCCTGATGCAGAAGATCTTAAAGGGGTTCTGGATCAACAGTTCTCCAGAAGTTCTGAAGGTCTGGAGGAGTTTCCTTCATCATAAACCAGAACGAGAACTACTGGCGCATTAACATTTCTATCAGCTCGGCTACGCATGAACAACGCCAACGTAAATAAAACGACCCTACCAGGGCCAGAGCGAGCTGACCTTTGAAACCAAGAAGTTATCCTGTCAGTCTGAATTCAGGGGATTAAAGTGACTTTGTGCTTTTTCCACAGAAATCATTTGAAAATTTTCTAACGTCTACGCAGAGGAACATACCACACTGACACAGCCTTCCTGACCTTTAACCCTTCTTCCAAAAACCAAGGATTAAGTGATGCTACCTGACTCCGATGGTAAACATGTCCAGGATCTTCTTCCCCTGCAGCCATCCCACCAGCATGATGACCCCTGAAACACACCGGAGACAACACTGAGCGAAACTACCGATGCTGCTGATTGAGTTCTACAGGAAACACACACACACACACACACACACACACACACACACACACACACACACACACACACACACACACACACACACACACACACACACACACACACACACACCTATGATGCAGAAGGAGTAAAGAGACAGCTGCTTCCCCAAGAGGTCCATGCTCTTCTGTAGAGGAGTCTTAGGAGCCTGAAACACAAACCAGGTTGCAACATTGGTAGTTACCATGACGATAACACTCCATCTCCCAGACTGCATGTTGAAGATGACAAACCTTGTGTTTGTGTATTTAATCATAATGTATTAACGGTGCAGCAGAAGTAGAGACAATTGTAACTAATTAATGAGATGGATATTTCCTGTTTGATGCTCTGGTTCTGGCCAGAGGCCCAGATGATCCAGATGGAACCAGAACTTATGAGGACAGGTGAAATAGTTAGGATCTGATAAATCTGTATGCTTTCCTTCAGAACCCCATTCATGATTCGTTTAATCACAGGAAACCTTTAAACGACTAATGAGTAATAAACATCGATAAACCTAAAGAGGAAGTGAAGTGAGTCAAAATGACAACTCTCCTCAGGAACCCTCTAAAATCAGCTGATGGATGTCTGGAATACTCACCTCCTCAGCCTGCATCATCTTAAATATCTCCCCAAACTCAGAGTCTTCTCCGGTTCCGATGACGATTCCCTGAGGAAAAGACTCATCGGTGAGGAAACAGGATTTCAGCAGCTGAGCGAGAGCGGTGACAGGCGCTGCCGGTACCTTGGCTTTGCCGCAGCGCACCAGTGTCCCCATGAAGGCGATGTTACTCCGAGAGGCGATGTCTCCGTTGATGGCTGCCGGCTGGTGGGAGGTGGATTTGGAGCTGGGGGTCGTTTCCCCCGTTAAACTGGACTCATCCACACACAAGTCGGTCGCCTGAGGAGAGAAATAGAAACTGAGCTTCACCTGGACACACAGGTGAGGAAGCCAAGAGTTTCTCAGGTGAGCCAACAGCTCAGAGAAGCACTGATCCAGGCAGAGGCCCTCCCCTGTTCTAATAAAGCCCATCATGATAAAAAAAACCTCTTGTAGCTGTTTTACATTTTGACTTTTAAAGCGAGTTGGTCGTGATTCAAGGGATTGAAGAAAATCAGAGATAACACAAGAACAAAAACCTCCAGCAGAGAGAAGTTCTCACCTCAAAGAGACGGAGGTCTGCAGGGACCCTCTCTCCCACCGACAGGCAGACGGTGTCTCCAGGAACCAGCTCCCGGGCCAGCAGGTGCTCCAGGTGTCCATCCCTGATACTGAGAGGACAGGTGTGTTCATTAGCAAACAGCTAAGCTTGTGTCCTAGGATCAACACAATCGTTAGTAAAAGTCACCAGTGGCATTCTGGAGGCATCAGCTTCCCGAGCTCCTCTAGAGACTTCTCTGAGCGGTACTCCTACACAGGAGACAACAGGAAACACGTCATACAGACATCCTACATAGATCCCAGGGAGGAGAACAGACCTATGGGGGCGAACCTGAACGAAGGCCACGGTCACCACGATGATGATGGCCTGTTAGACACAAACACACAGCAGTTAACAGAAAGGACTCATCAGTCTAATTCTAAAGCTTGTGATAAAGCAGCCTTCTGCCCTGCTGCTGCTTTAACGTGATCAGAGTAAAATCCAGCAGCGTACCACCGTGATGCTGATGGCATCGTCCAGCTGGTGCATGACGACGCTGATGACAGCCGAGGCCAGCAGCAGCAGGATGAGAGGGTCTTTGAACTGAGGAGGAACACGAATGCACAGGGTTAAATCATTACCTGGAGCCAGTAGGAGCTATAATAACCTTTTAAAGGGTTAAAAAAGGTCTCCGCCTCCTCCACTACTTATGGGAAGAATAATGCGTTTGCAACTCAAGTCTCTCCAGATTGGTGACCTGAAACCTCACAACGTCGCATATCTTACGAGAAGCATGAACACTTTACAATAATCCATGTTTACGCCTCAGGACAGACGAGCCTGAGATGACTGACGTTTATGGTATCGTGTTGATCCTGGTGGAGCCTCCAAAGAAACAAAGAAAACTTTTACCCGATGAAGCTAAAAGAGAAAAAGAACATCTGACCAAAAGAGGGGTGAAACGAGAGTCAACAACGGGAAGCTCAGACTAACGAGGAATCAAATTGGAGGCAGACCTTGTGATCGTGCTGTTGCACTTGTATAACTTATGTGGTCAGCTGGTTTGAGAAGAAGGATGCACGGCGAAGAGAAAACTGTTTGTTTTTATGACAGTGATTTATAACTGTCTAGTTTCCCGTTAATAAATGAACTTTTGAGATTTTGACCCTAGAACATCCAGAAGACTCTTTAAGCCCCGGAGCTCCACCGATGTGTAGAGGTTCGACTATGTCAGCAACTTCTGCTCCAGAGATTGTTCGGTCTATCCCCAGGTCTCCTGGCTCGCACTGCACTGGGACCGGGACTACACTGGTCCTGTTCTGGGTGAGGGCTGACCTGTGTCTGCAGAGACATGTTGTCCTTTTCGCTCCTTCAAAATATGACCCTCAGCTCAGTTCAGAGCAACAACTCCAAATCTGAGGCCATGGTTCCTGAAAGGGGAACGATTGGGTCAAGTCTAGGTCAGGGAATGGTCATATCTCAGGTGGAGGCAAGTATCTCAGAGATGAGTGAGCAGATCAGCGCTGAACTGTTCTGCTGTGATAGAGATGAAGCTGAGCCAGAAACAGAAGGTTCTGATTTACCAGTCGATCTTTGCTCCAAGCCCTCACTGATGGTCATGAGCTCAAAGAACAACCCTAAAGGACAAGATCATGAGAACAGAAATGAGTTCCCTCAGCAGGGCGATCAGAGGAGGAGCTTGGACATGCGGGATGGGGTGGAGTAGAGCTGCTGCTTCTCCACGTAGAGAAGAGCCAGCTGAGATGGTTCCGACATGTCCTGCAGGCAAAAGACCCCTGGGGTCCATCAGGACACGCTGGAGCGACACAACATGACATCTTTGGAAGTATTCTCTTTAAAGCAGCTTTTAGACTGTTGAGTGTGAGTTTTGCAGCTGATCTCAGATCAGGAAAAACAGGCCTGAGTTCTGAACTCAGTTTCAGCGTTCTGGTGACCTGGTTTCCTCTAAATGACCGACAGTAGTGGTCAGGTGACTGTAAAGTGCTTCACAATGCTAACACATGCACACACACACGGTGAACTGCTAACCCCCGAGTGTGAAGCATCACAGTAGAATAGACAGGCTAACACTTCACACCTAAAAGTTAACGAGAATGAATATTTTACACTCCTCTTTTAGGGAGAGAACCAGCTCTCATGATAAGAGATCTCTCGGCTTCCTCCTTCATCCTCATTCCTTTAATACCATCCTATTCCTTGTCTTCTCTCCTCTCCTGATGATTTTCTATATTTAACATCTCTGCTCTGAAGCTGCTGCAGGAGTTCATGTGGACCAATCAGAGGAGCATCAAAGTCCCTCAGGCTGTGTGATGATTAAAGACATCCTCTACCATCTCATGCAGGATCACGTTCTGGATTGAGCTGGATTCTGGGTGTGGGGCTCCTCTTTAGTTTCACCCTCATGGAGGTCAGAACATTCCTCACTGTACTGAACAGTGCTGCTGGGTTTGATGTGACCCAGAACATTTGGTTAGAAGTCAGAACAAAGACACAGGAACATTCAGATGCTCAGATCCATGACTGGTCAGCACACACCCACCACACAGTCGGCTTCCATTACCTGGCAGATGTACTTCCACCATAGCGGCTCTTCTTCACTGATGTCGAACTCGTTCCAGCCGTGGTAAGTTCTCCTCCGGTTCACCTCCTCCTGGGTCAAACCCGACTGCAGGTCCGCCTGACAGAACCAACGTTACACGATAAAATTTCACAGAGATCCAACCTGAAACTAAACCACTCCTGAGTTAAGCTAGCAGCTAATCACTACTGAACAGGTGGACAAATTTCAGAATCTGGAGAATTTCATCATCAACAGCTGAACAGTCAAACCTGAAAGGTTCTCATGATGCAGAACATCGAAACACCAAAAACCACCAAAAAAGATCGGGAAATGCATTCTCTAAGGGAAACTTCAGGTGTCTGAGTGTGTTTCTGTGGAACAGCTGTGAAGTGCCACCTGCTCTAGACAGCTCTCTGAACAGCTTTAGTGTGGAGAAGCAGAAATTAGTTATGACTAGGTACCAAGTGAATCTCTGATCTTAAAGGTGTTCTAGAACGTGATCTTACCACAGGAAACAGTTCTTTGAGTCTCTCTGAATGAAAGTTTGTTGGGGCTTATGACGGCAAGCCCCGCCCACTTGTCCAGGACATGATTATTAAATGAGCGGTGTGCTGATTGGCTGGTTAATCCTGATGGCTCTATAATGCTGCCTGAAGCTAGAAACTGTGTAGAGTATTCAGATAACTCAAAAGGGAAACTATGGATCTATCTGGCATTCATTCACGGCCTCAATTTTCCCAGATTTGACACTTGATCAGACTACAGTTTATCCATATAAGGAGGAGAAACACCTGCAGAGCCATAATCCCAATCCTAAATCCTGATCCAATCCTTTGCAGATCGACGGGCACAGGTTAACCCAGGGGCCGGCAACCTGTTCCCATCAAACAGCCATTATTACCCATTTCCCACAGTAAACAAAACACTGGGAGCCACAGCAGCTGCGGCGTTGTGGGCGGGGCCTACCCTCAGACAGCAGAGCGCTGCTCACAACAGGTGACAGCAGCCGGTACCGGTCGCTCGTGTACGTCAAAGTTATCTTTCATAGGACGATAATCAATTAAACGATTTATATAAAGTGGATCCAGAAGTTGTAGCCCGTCTCTGCCTACAATATTTTGATATTTTTCAGCCTGTTGGTGGTTTTACTGAGCAGGTGCCACTTTTGTCATACGTTTCTTTTTAAAACATGTTTAGACTGTTCAGAATACAAATCCAGGCTCTGTCACGTTTGATTGTTGTAATTAAACTTTGTAGGTGGGGAAGGTCAGAAAAGGATCCGATCATTTTGTTTTTCCCTCATTTACAGTGACGGAGATAACTGTGCAGTGCGCCTGGCTCTGTTGTTAATTAAGTTAAATCATATCTCTTTGCAACAATTTTCACAAGAAAACAAAACAGTTAAAAGCAGGGCTTGTGTTGACTGGATAGTTCCCGTATTTGACCGTTTATTTTGAAGGAGAAAGAATAGAAAGAATTACCTCGATGCATGCAGACGAACTGACATTTTATTCGACGCACATCGCAGATGTAGCTAATTCACTCAAGAAAAGATTCCCATCTGAACATCTGAGCTGGACACTGCTCAGCGCAGCTTGCTGTCAGCGTGTACTACATAAGGTCCACAGCGAGCTGAAGATGTGGAGAGGGGAGTGCATCGCAGAACCAGAGCGCATGCGGGAAGATTCCTCCGACTGAAGCGAGCGTTTTCCAAACCCTGTCTCTCAGAGAGACTTGTCACTTAGAAAATGTTCCCTTATTATGAAACTTTGGCTGAATAGCGCTTGTTCCTGTCTCCAATGTGGCGACGCATCCAGGAGCCGTCTGAGGAGAATCCCAGAATCTCACATCCTCGTCAGCTCAGAAAGCGCCGATATGATTACGCACAAGCGTGACGCGTCAACCCGGTCTCACAGTAAGACCGGGTTGGAACTGTTCAGGTTTACGCAGACAATCTTTACATTTAGAATTGGCATACGGATATAAAATTAATGCAGTAAAATATAAAGCTTTTTATTTAAATATCCATTCATTATTTTACAAGCACAGAGAGCCACATCAGATGGATGGAAGAGCCGCATGCGGCTCCAGAGCCGCGGGTTGCCGACCCCTGGGTTAACCCAACAATCTACTTGAATGAAGAATGAACACGTAATAACAAAAACATGAAAACAAGCGTTACAACACAGAAAATCCCACATCACATGGATTTTTATGTTTGTAGCTGTGAAGCTAGCTCCTAACTGGAAGGTCATAATTCTGCTAAATAACCAGAAACGGTGAATTTATGTAATAAAAGAGTATTTACATAAACTGGTGTTTCTGATTGTAACTGGTGCAACCGTGATTAGCTAACACCTCCCAGGGGGTTAGGGTTAACTCTAATCGTTGGATTGAAGCTCTGATCAGTAGTAATGTTTCTCAAAACTTAGGCTGTTCAAAGAGCAATAAGTACCCTCTTTAAAACATCTAATCTATCCCTTTAATGCTTACAGGCTCCACAGCTGGGACACGGAGAGTTTCTCCACCTCTGATTGGTCCTGGTCTGAACCAATTACAGAGTCTCGCTGCCAGCTTACCTGTAGGACACACGCTACTTCATTAACTGGCAGTTCACTGGCTTTCCTGGACGTTAGTACTGGGACCATGGTCTCATCTTCACTGCAGGGTTGGTTTTCGGAAAGCTGCAACAGAAAGAAGACACAAAAATCATGTCAGTGCCAGTCCACAGTTCAGGGTGAAGGTGGGAGCTGCTGAGCTGAAACCATTATTACTGAACAGATGTGAACAACCTCAGCCCCCTAACGGGGACCTGAACCTCTCAGAAAAGCTCAGGAAAACAACCCAAATCAGGTCTCTGGATTCAAATGAAAACAAAACATAACATAACATGCAACCTCAGACTACCAGATGTAATCTGTAGAAGGGTGTGAGAATGGGGCTGTAATCCAGAGGGGGTCATGACCTGGTATTTCTCAGGTTCGGTCGATGTTTACAGAGTGTGATGTCAGGTACCTGCTGGGCCAGAAGGCTGAGAAAATACCCAGAAAAATAATTTAAATCATGGTGCTGGAAGACGGTTAGGGTTAGACACCAGGAAACTAGATCCACCAGGATCTCTCACTAGGAGCTCCACTAAGGGAAATCAATTAAAAATGTATTTAATGATGAATCAAATTAATCTGACAAAATGCTAATTTGTGAGATTTTCTTTTGTTTGTTGACCATTTAGCCTTCTGAGAGCTTTATTTTTTTCAGTCTGTTAAACATTGTGTTACTGGTATAGCAGCTACACTGGAGAGTTATCATGTTGTCCTGTTGAGTTGCAGCTGTGTCACCCTGAACATCATCATCTGAGAATTTTATTAAGAAAACTGGTATTTTCTGGTATTCTTTAAGCTGTTTAGCTTCTCCAAGAGGCTTCTTCACTTCTAAAAGTTGCGTTGAGTAGGAGGCTCAGTCGCTGTGGTCAGAAACAAACACATAGATTGTTCTGAAAGTTTTTTGTTGCATTTTTTCTCTTGGAAAAAAGTAAAAACATATTTTTGTCTAAATTAAGTCAGTGTTATGTCCTTTTTACCCCCAGATTGTGCAGTCAGCAGTATTTATCATAACTACATAGAAAGCTTTCGAGTCAATCCATGTGATCAGTATCTGTGATCGGTATCATATGGGTGATCGATACCGGTATCGGTAGTTGGCATCGGTGATCGGTACCAGCATTAGTGATCGGTATGGGTGATCGGCATCAGCATATCACAACGAGAAACCTAATCTTTACAGATGATAAACGTCAGAGGTCCTTTGTGTCAGGGCTGGGTAGAGACAAGGCATTAAGGTGTGTCAGGATCACTTCTGTCTAACTCTTTTTCTACTGTTGTTCCTGGATTATTTGCTCTGTAGGAACACCTTCTAGTTAAGAAAGGTACGGCAGGAAGTATTATGAATGTTAGTGTAACCTAAAGCTGACATGTTGACTCTGTGGCACCTAAACCCTAACCCTAACCCGCCAGAACCAACACACCGCCCACTTTTACGACCCACCTAAAGAGTCTCTAGTAACAGAACACCGCTGTTTTAGTTTCCCTCCTAGAGTAGGAGGAGAACAAGGAGGAGGAGCAGGAGGTTGGAACCCACTTAACTGAACTGAACAATCTGTTCCAGCCGTGCAGGAGATGATGGTGCAAACAATGGGAGGAAGAGCTGGTGTTACACCTGGGCCCCGCCTCCTGTGAGCTGTACAAGCAGGATCAGCTGGTCAGGTGAAAGCCTGAAGTCATCAGCGTTTTGATGCAGGTGTCTCAACTCATGATCATTATAATAATAATAAATAAATAAACAGATAAACAAGGACACTGATTAATGAAATTCACCTGGCTTAGCTGTCGCTGTGAGGATTTATCCATTTTCTTTGGCCATCACCCACAGGTGATGGAAACAACGTTGTGACTCTGCTTGTCGGAGCTAACTGCTGCAATTAGCACGACCACAGCTTTCTGTTTTCAGAAGAGATAATGCTTCCCCAGCAGATTTGTGAAACAAAACAAAAAAACAAAACAAACAAAAACTAAATAAAAACACTGGCGAATCGGACCAATGTTTTCCATCATCACAGAGCTCATACAGGTTTTAATCATTTTACTTTTCTCTTCAATACAGATTTGAAGCTTCTCTCCAAACCACCTCGTCTTTAGATGTTAAGTGGTTATATTTCGAGGATTTTTTTCGTGAAGTCTCTTAAAAGTGTATATCGTGTATTGATAGCAGGCCATTTTGTGTTTGTTTTGCCACCCAGTCATTTGCTCATGCACACAAAGATGAAAAAAAGATGTCGACAAAGATGGTCCAATAGAGCTCCGGGAGTTGACGTCACTTCTCCCGGCACGCAACAGTTCAAATCAAAACGGCGCCATATTGGCAGGCAGAAGCCCGCAGCTGGACTATTTGTTATTGTCAGAAAACTCAAACGGGAAATATGGTAGATTCCTGTTGTGCCCCAGGATGCAGAACAGACGCAGACGACATAAGGGACAAGCCTTCTACAGGATTCCCCAAGATCCGGAACACCGCAAAGATTGGATCATTGCAGTAAAACGCGCTAGTGACTGGGCTAAAATGAAATTGTGGGATCCCGAGAGTGAAGGTTTTCGCTTATGCAGCGACCACATCATATCAGGTACTTAAACCAACGTTTCCTCAACTGTGTATGGTATTTATTTTAAATGCTTTTATTACGATTCTTAGTGGGCTTCCTAAACTTATTTAGGCGTGGCTTTTTCTGTCTTATTACTCATAGCAACAAGTAAACATCATGTAAAACGTTGCCTCGTGTTTCTGCGTGCTGCCGTTTACGTGTTTTATGATCACAGCAATTAACCGGCTAAGCTGTATTTCATTTTAAGCAATGGTTGATCAATTGTCAGATCACACATAAAAAGCACTTTGGATTGCTATTATCTGTGTCACCGAGACAGATCTCAGACAGATCCTGAGACGCTCCTGCCTGACATATTTATTTTATTCACTTTAAAAAAAATCAGACTTGTGATTTCTCTTGGCGTTCAGTTTATACATTCAAACAGCACAGCACTCTATTTGAACTACTTACGTGTAAATCTATGTTATTTGTCCATCCATCCATTTTCATCCGCTTGTCCGGAGTCGGGTCGCGGGGGCAGTAGCCTAAGTCGAGAGGCCCAGACTTCCCTCTCCCCAGCCACTTGGGCCAGCTCCTCCGGGGGAATCCCAAGGCATTCCCTGGCCAGATCCGCTCCGACAGCTTCTGGCGTTTTTAAAAATTATCCCAGGGGCATGGTAAGGGTCGGAGATGTTTAATCTATTTAATTTCTGACTATGTAAAACGATTTATTCGGTTTTAAAGTGTGAAGTAAACTCTGACGGAGTAAAATCCAAGCCGATCCCGTTCATTTTGTTTACCTTTGTTGCCTGCCAACATGGCGTCTACTCTCCGAGTCACGTGACGTCCGGAGCTCTATACAGTAGCTGTTTAGGGATAGGGTTTGCTCTGGGTTTCATGTTTGTGCTTTGGCATGAACGTTCTCCTTCCTGTAATTGTGTGCGGGGCTGGCGTTGTTTCTCTTCATGGCAGCCTTGCTGGTTTGGAAAAATTCTGCTCATTCCCCTTGGGGTTGCTTGCCCTGCTCTAACTAGATGTGATCATTGGATTGAAAGCTGGAAATCATATGTGGCAAGGCGGAGAAATGAGGGCCCGGGCGGGATTCGATCCCCAGACTCCCGGGTAAGAGTCACATGTGCCAACCAGTCAGCCAAAGGGACATCCCCTTGGCCAAGTAGCCAGTGCGCATGATTAGGGTTGTCACGGTAACCGGTATAGCGGTAAAACCCGGTAAAAAAGTTGACAATAAAAATAACCGTCCAGTTTTTAAAAAACTAAATTATCTCTGTGGGTTTACCGTGGCCGCGGTTTCAGCGCGGTGACCCTTACCAGCCACCGTCGCCTCAGCTGAAGTTCCCGCGGCGCGCACTTTTTAGTTTACAACGGCACCAAAACTTTGAAGCTGAAATAATGGCCGAAGGAGGAGACGGCAGCGCCCAGGACATCCATCAGCCCTCAAAGAAGACTAAATCGGAAGTATGGGCATATTTTGGATTTCTGAAAAATGCCGAGGGACAGTTAATAGAAGACGGCTATCCCGTTTGCAGAACGTGCAGGAAACAAGTGTCTGCAAAAGGCAGCAACACTTCGAATCTAATGGCACATCTGAGTGACCATCACCCACGTCTCTACAGCCAGTGCAAGGTAAGTTAACATTAGCATTTTAGCTTAAATGCATGACGTGAGGACTTTTGGTTGAGGGAGAATGCTACGAGACACTACATACTGCAGCCGCAGCGTCCTCTGCCAGCATTTAAACCGTGTCACGGACACCCTGTTGCTGGATGAAGCATCTTATTTGTTGATGATGAAGAGAAATATACAATTAGTTCCTTGTCATTGATTTGTTTACTTATTCAATGCCATTTATACTTGAACATTTGGATTTGATTACATAGTGTAGTAGTTATTTTAGTAATTTGTTTAAAGTGGCTATTTGTTTTAAATACATATTTTTTAAGGTTGACTTGTACAGTGCTCAAGTCAAGTGTGGACTGGAGTTTTAGATTTTCATTTTGATAATGAAGAAAACAAGTATATGAGAAAACAAGTGGTGTTTCTTTGATTTGTTTACATATTGTTTATGGTTTGAATGTTTGGATTTGTATAATTTAAACCTGCACTGACTACTGTAACATGTTCCAGAAAAAGAAGCTATTTGTTCCTTTACTTGTGAAAAGTTGCACTTTTGCTAAGGCTTTGTGGTATTTTAGGTTTAATAAACACTGTTAAACCTTTTCAGAACTATTTCAGTTTGTGTAGAACAGGACTATCAATGCTTTCTGAACATATGCAACACCGTTTAAAAAATACCGCGATAATACCGAAAACCGTGATAATTTTGGTCACAATAACCGTGAGGTTAAATTTTCATACCGTGACAACCCTACGCATGATCAATCGGGTCACAGTGACAGGACGCTCACACGGTCACACAAATAAAACTGTGGCAGTGCGAGCACAGCTGTGGGGGAGCGAGAGACGAGTGATGCGCCAGATGTGCTGAGTTTGACAGGCGCATTACATGTGCAGAAGCAGCAGCACAGGGGCGAGAACACAGCTGTTGACAATGACTGATCAGACTCGTTCTACATATAGTCACCAAATACAGGACACAGGACTCTCTGATCACAGCGACGCTGACTGCAGAAAGCAGCAGAAACAGTAAACAAAACTTGCAGACAGTTGAAAGCTGGTGTGTGGCATTTTCACATTGCTTTTTTGATGTAAGTGGGCTACTGTAGCTGCAATACCTACTCTGAACTGTGTGGTGCTAAAGAGTCAAATATTTTTACACACTAGGGCCTTGAAAAGCCCCAAATAACAGCAGTTATGAGAAAACATCACACGCCTTTCAGGCAAATGGAGTTAGCATAAAAACTCCTAGCCATACTTTACATTCTATATTTTTATAAAATTAATTTCCAGAAAGGACCAGTTGCCCCCAAAAGCTTTGGAGATGAGTCTGAAACAACAGAAGGCAGAGGAATCTGACCTCAGGTCTGCTCTGACTTGACTAATCCCATACAGAGCCGGGCTCTCGGCTACCCGCTGGAGACACAAACACCTGAAATGGTGTAGTTTGGTTGGAGTCACACTGAATGAAACATTTATGAGAAACTTTATTCTGATGTTGGGAAAATGAAATATTTCTTTTTCTGGTTTTATTAAATCGTCTTCATGGTGACTAACTCCTCCTAAAGCTGTCTCCTGTCTCCAGATGCTGGATGAAGTCTGTCAAAACTTTTACTGAGCATGTTTTAAGTTCCAGTGACAGGACAGACAGAGCTGACCTGGAGAACCCTGCAGAAAATTTATGGTATCAGTAGTCTGAGCTGAAATGTTAGCAAAGTAAAAACGAGTCACGTTTAGCCCCAATTCAGCAGAAGGTCTCATGACCATCAGCTCTGAAGATCTAATCAGGATTAAAACGCCAGCTTTATTTCTCAACTAACAGAGACCTCCGTCTACTCCTATCCATTACAGGTTAGGAAGGTTTTCTTCTACTTGCCTGCTGCAGCATCTCTTGATTTTTCTTAGACTGCTGCCGAGATGAAAAACAAAAACCAAACATGATGGCATCAGGCAGACTCCCGTGAAGGACCGACTCTGTTGCAGGAGCAGAAGCAGAAGCAGAAGCAAGAAAACGGGAAAGACGACTCCGGATGTGACACCTCTTTATAGGCCAGGAGTGAAAAGAACTGAACCTTTACAGACAATCAAACGATCACACTCCTCCTCCCTCCATCCGTCACAGGCTTTGTTTTGTTTACTCAGCAAAAGGGCTGGTTCATTTAGGACACAGCGTCATTCCTGGAAGATTCACAGAATCGCACGAAGAAGAAGCAAGAAGAAGCAGCAGCAGAAGTAGAAGTAGAAGAAGAAGAAGTGATTTGGGATTTCTAACTTCTCCCAAAGCTGTCTCACGTCTTCAGATGCTTGAGCCGGCTGTGGGATGAATATCAGAGGACATCTGTCACAAATTTTACCGAACCAAACAAAAAACTCGGAATAGCTAAATGTTCATTTTTCCAAAATCAGGAGAACGTTTCTGGTTTCAGACCAACACCAACTACAGCTGTGACTCAGATACAACACGGGTCTGGTCCTGAACTCTCGATCCGGATCAGAACTTCTAATCCAGACCTCTTCTCCCAGCCTTTGTCATAATCCTCTAAATTGGTTCTAGATCAGAAGTTTGAAGGAATTATTATTATTTTTTTAACTTTGAGCAGAATTTTCTTTCTTTTATGGAACCAGAACATTTATAATAATAATAATAATAATAAAATAATAATAATAATTATTATTATTATTATGTTATTTGTAAAACACTCAAAGTGCTGAATAGCTATAAAATAGATAAAAGCAACATGAACAAAACAATGCAGGTTTAAATCAGATAAATCAAGTAGAACATCAATAAGAACCAGTAAAAACGTTAACCATGGATTAAAGACCCATAGGATCACCATAGGGTGAACATGCGTGTCTTTAACTAAAACCTCTGTAAAAACATGCCTGCCTAGAGTCATGAAGGAGGTTGTTGCACTGAGATGGGCATGAAAAGAAACAGCACCCTCACCCAACCAAGTTCTTTTCCTTGCAACTAATAGTCATCAAGATTCATGGGGAAGTTTTGGACAAATGGGAATGCATTCTCAGTCCTATAATCATCAAATCTGTCTTACCAGCATTAAGAAACAGGAAATGTTATATAACCAGCTCCTAACCACAGACATTTGGCTTTCTAGTTTGGACAAACCAGCACAGCTTCTAGTACAATAACAGTGTGGTTACACGAGCATCTATGCTGAGCTATGGCGACAATCAAGCTAATACCTTAACCGGAGTGGGAGCCTTTCATCCTAGTTTACATGTCTATTAGACAAAGAAATTACTGAATGAAGTGGGTTTGACTCCACCAGGGTAAGTGGTGACATGCGCCCTTCTGAGTTGGCATTCTTCCGGGTTAGCCCAACACCCAAATGCTGGCAGGAGTGAACAAAGAAAAAGCAGAATATAAACAATGGTCAAAGAAACGGACAACGCTGCAGAACAGTACTAGGGATGTCCAATCACATAAGATTAACAAAAGATTATTGTAGCGTCATTGCTCATATATACAATTGTTTACATCCCCATTATGTATTGAATGATGCATGTTCCCGAGTCGGGGCAGACACGCGGCACTACGGCCGGCAGGTTCACTTTTCTCTGCACAACACTTGCTGCAGGACACTGCCAACTAGGGATGGGCGATATGGCCTCAAATCTATATTGCAATATAATCTGAAGCATGTGCGGTAACAATATATATTGCGATATATTTTTTCCTCTGCTTATATGTCAAAATGGCTTTTAAATATCCTCATGTGGCAAATATATGCCACTTGAGGCACATAGGCCTTCTCCGCCCACTCCATGCTTGCAGTCACTGCCATTCTGTTGTCCCAATGTCAGCAGGGTGCACATCTTAAGTTTTTTTTATAGGACCATAGCATTTTAAAAACGGGATTTGCCGCAGCATCCTGGGGAGGGTTTTGGCATTTATAGTAGCAAAGCTGAAGCTAGAATAAAATGCCATCAGACACCTCTCCAACCAAGAAGGGATATAAGGAAGTGGCTCCCTGCATTGGGATCTGCAGTCAGAAAAGGGTAAAACCCCTTTTCGCACATAAGTGACGAAAAAGGGCACTTTTGGCGTCAGGGGTCTGACGCGGAGGGTGGCTGACCAAGCGTTTGTTTTTGACGCGCTGGGAGTGAGAATGTGTTGCATTATCAGAGGGTCTGTTTCGCGGTTTTGTTTTTGTCCAGTAGGGGGAGTATCCAGGCTGGTCATAATAATTTAGGTAATCTGGGATGTTGTTGATGTTAAGGTTTGGTGATACATAATAATTTTCCAAGCAATATTTGCCAGTCCAAAAAAAGATAGACATAAATTGCACTGGTTTGTGCTACACACCTTATAGAGGGTGGTAATTCTCACCTGTCAGCCAATAGCTTATGATTCTGTCCCAGCAGTGGAGGGGTAACCCTTCACCTGTCAGTTTGGGAAGATCTCAAAAGTTTGAAGCCAACATTTGGATGCCAACAGTGAATCTGAGGGAAGTTTTGAATGTTTTCCACAGCAAATTATGCAGGATTGTGAAGGTAAGGCTTGTTGTGGAACAACTATTTTATTAGAGTACTTTTATTAGACTTGTGGACGTAAAAGGGCCATGTTGGAGACTGCTCTTGACTGTCAATGATATGAGACTCCAAACGGTGAGTTGGACATTATTGTGAATTTCCGAATGGTTGGACAAAAGTGTTCACGATGTCTACAGTTGTGTTTGAAGGGCTTGGCCCATCACCATTGGTCGATAAATTCTTCCAATCGCCCAACCTTAGATTGCAAGCATTTTAAAACTCCAACTTTAGACAGACTAAGGCCATAATTTAGTTTTCTGACACTGCATGTGCAGATTGAAAGCTTATGAAAAGAATGTAAACAAAGACCACGAGGCAGCAGATAAGAGTGAAAACAGCAGTGGGCCAAGCACAGAAGCATGAGGGACACAACACCTCACAGCACAGGTCTCATTTTTTAAACAAATACTCCAAGATCTCCTGGTCAGGAAGGATCTTAGCCCTGGAAGCACATTTCACAAATGTTTAAGCCTATCCAATCAAATTCTTTAATCTAGTGTCAAACACAGAAAACAGTAATAAAACCCAAGAGTCAATATTGCCTGCATTTACCAAAATGTCATTTATCACTTTGATAACAGCTGTAGGGCTGAAACGATTCCTTGAGTACCTCGAATAATTCGAGTACAAAAAATCCTCGAGTCAAATTCTCTGCCTCGAGGATTTGTTTAATTCATATTTAATTAATTCATGGCTTTGCAAACGCATGGGGTCATGTTTCACCCGGACCGAAATAAGTGACGCACATGCCCACTGGACTGCGAGTAGCGAATGTAACTTAACTTTCTCTTAAGCCATGGCGGACAACTTGAACCCCGGTGGAGTGCGAAAAAGACAGAAAATGTCAAAGGTGTGGGACCATTTGTCACGTCGTAAGGTGGAAAACGTAGTCCAGTATAAATACTGTCAAATGGATTTAGCCTACCACAATACCACATCCTCGATGCTGCAGCACCTGTAAATGTCACTTCTGCAAGCGGACTCGGAGCCTCCACAAGATAATGCATTTTAGCCTGTATTTCTATATATTCTGCAGACACTGTGTGACTTTTTCGTTTGTAGCACTCAGTTTCAGCTCACACCATACGTCTGGTAGCAACACGTCGGTCTTAAAATGTGCTAAAAATAGCAGTTTTTACACAATATGTTGGACTTTTTATTGTGTTATTGATGTTTGTTGTCCCTCGGGATTGCTGCAGGAGGACACGGGTATTTATGAGGAAAACGAAAGAAAGTAAATAAATGTTTTGTGATCAGTATAATTTGACAAAACCACGGCAAACATGCTTTCTCGACAATCCTTGTTATTGTGTGAGAAAAAAAGTGTTGAAATTAAAACGAACGTGTGTTAATAGGGAAGCAGCCGGCGAGCTGTTTGCGCCGTGAGGGGTTCTGGTTCTGTTTGGGCCGCAGCCGCTCGCGGCGCTACTTCAACAGTTATCCTCCTAATTTTTGTCTGGCTTGCAGGCTAGTAGATTCTCGCACGAGGGGAAAATCGGCTCAGGTTGTTTACTTATTTTTTGCACACGCATTTGTTTACTGTTAAGTAAAGTTGAAGTGCTGAAGTTTTGCAAACTTAATTTTGAATAAAACTTGAAGAATAACTGGCAATTGCTTGCTCATTTTGAGAGGTCTTTCATATTTTATAACATGCTATTTTATATAATGGTTTACAAACACAAAAGGGTAATTTATTAGAGTACTCGATTAATCGATAAAAAGATTCGATAGAGTACTCGATTACAAAAATATTCGATAGCTGCAGCCCTAAACAGCTGTTCCTGTGGAATGGTTGGCAAGCTGCTTTTTAAAGACCTTAAGACAAAAAAAGTGAGATCAGTCGATGGTTTCTAACAGAGTCCAGGATTTTTTTCAGATTGGTACTAACACAGCAGCTGATTTAAATAACACAAGGGAAACTACGGTAGTTAATGACATATTTAGTAAAAACAGAAAGTAGGGTTGTGACTGTCTGACCACAGTTCCTTTTATGAACCCACCTGGCAGAGGGCCCAGAGAACAGCTAGTATATGGAGCTGGACTAACAAGCTAACTCAGATGGAAAAAAACAATGTCAGAGAAGCTATGACCAACACCAGCAGGAAAAGCAGCTGAGTAGTCTGATGAACGGCTCAATGGGGGAGTAATCTGATTTCTCTGTGTCAGCCCCATCTCTAAACAAAATAAGAAAATCATGAACAGTCAGATTTGATCTACAGATTGTTAAACTGTTTCAGAGTTGTGACACGGTTGAACAGAAGTTTAGGAAGATGTTTCAGACTCAGAATAGGACTTGAGAGGCAGGTTGCTTCTGAGTATCTGTCCAAGCTTGCAAAATATTGCTAATCAGGAACAGTGCAAACTGTACTTTAGCTTTTTTACAATTTCTCCTCATGTTCATAAGTCTATTTATTTCCTTCTATTTTCAGAGGACAAACACCACTTCAGATGAACCATCTTGTTTTTAAGTTAACCATTTAGCAAGGGCACAGGGTTCCGTTTTTATGAGTTGATGTCTTTAGAGGTGCAAGAGTTCAATAATAAAATTGCCATATTAAAACCCATGGGTGTCCACTCACAGTTCATAGGTAAAAATGGAATCCAACACAATGCTCTAGGTCTAATGAGACGAGATGACCTGGGGGGC